ACCCCAGCATTCATTCCTGCCTGTGGCAGGGGGTCAGGCTAGATGATCTGTTCAGGTCCCTCCTGACCCTAGTTACTATGAAACTATAAGTGGAACCCACGAGGGGTCCGAGTGTCCAGCAAGACGTGACCAAGAGGGCGTAAAAGGCAGTCTCCCAAATATATTTTGTCATCAAAGACGTGGCGGGTGAGAGTCGAGGGCGCCCATTGGGTCAACTTGGCATGGTAAAAGGGGCTTTAGGGAGATCACAGCCATCCTACTGGACACCGCGCCGTGACAAGACTCATTAATTTCTCCGAATCAAATTGGAAGCCTCTGAATCAATTTGGAGAGATTCAACAATTTGGCCATAGACACAGCTTTATATGTTTTTTCTGCGTACCTGAAGGTACCACAAATGCTGAGATGGTGGGGCGGATAGAGCATCCCATGGGAGCGTTGGGGGGGGGGAAGGAAATCTGATTGTCCCTGGCCTACTTTTAGCAGGACTCGCTGTCCCCCAAGTCAAACCAAATCCGAATCAAATACTGCCCGCTTCACACCCCCCTAGAATCTAGCTGCTGTCTACAAGCCTCAGCCGGTTTCTTTTAGCAATCACCCCTGCTCCCTGCTAGGCTGCAAAATTTTCAGAATGGGAGGGGGGAAAGGGAGCTGAAGGAGCTTGTTCTAGGGATTCTCCAGCCAGCACTGGAGGGTAGGGTGGGTGTATTGGGCTCCAAGATGAGGGGCTCCACTTCACCCATCCCACCCTCCAGCGGGAGCTTAAAACCCCCCAGACTGAACTCCCTTCACTCCCTTTCCCCCTCCCATTCTGAAAACCGCTTGGGGCTGGCAGGAAGAACTGACGTTACAGAAGATCATAGGTGACTGAAATTGGCCCTCACCAGCTGGGGAGTGGGGAGCGCCAGCCGGTGCCACCCCCTCCTCACCCCCCGAGAAGTGCTAGCGGCACTTCTGATTTTGCCAGTAGCACTTCTGGTTTGCTGTCGGCGCTTCCAGGGACAGTGATTGGCCACTGGGGGACCTTCCCCCCCTGTCGGCAATCGGCTGCTGGGGGACCCCCAGAGCCAGAAGGCACCAGTTGCCCATGCAGAAGATGCTGTTTTGAAACATCTTCATCTGATGTATGCAATGAGGAGTCAGATTTTCATCAGATCGGCCATTTTTTAAGCTATCTGCAGCCATGCACTTGTGTTTGGTTATGGCTATAAACTTTCTGTCACCAGATTGGGCAAAAATTGTCTTCTGTTTGTGCACAGAGTTTCAAAAGGCTTTGTACCCAAAATGTGCTGAGTCCTTTTTTCTGAAAACCACCCTCCTTAAGTGGGTTCCCAAGAGCTGAGCGCTTATGAAAAGGAGACCCCAACAATGGGTGCTGAGATCTTTGTCCTCAGAGATGAAAAAACTGTAATCCCTGCTACCTGGAAGGTGAAACACCCTGTGCTTGTCTATTCCCCACTGTCAAAAACAGTCTCTCTCTTTCTCTCATGCTCTGAAATAATACAACCTGCTTTTTTTCTATGAGCAAACAAACAATGTTCATAATTTTAAACTCATTAGTCATCAGCTTTTAAGGGAACTAAATCAATGCTCAGCAGCTGCTCTGGTATGCTGGAAAAATCCAAGAACAAGTCAAGAAGTTCAGATGAAACAACAGCTCTCCAAAGCTTGCCACCCCCACCATCTCCTCTAGATAGACAAAGGGGCTTTTTAATAGCTGTTGAAATGCTTGCATGTTTTTGACAATCAATGAAAAAAAAATCTCTTTTTAAAGTTATGATAAAAATAATATTGTAAATCTCTTACCAGCCACCCAAATAATCACCATGTTTGCCTTAATGGGACAAAAGTAAGTACTCAAATGAGACAATGAGGGCTCAGAAAGAAGATAGGGCTATGGATTTCTATCCTGCCTTTTCTCTTTATTATTATGTATAGAGGCAGAAATTTTTATTCCATTCCTTTTAAATAGATGGGAATTTTCCTCCTTGCTTATTATTTTAGAATATCAACATTGGCTATCCCTGTTTTGTACTCTAACCCTTCCTTGAGAGTGTCGAAGGCAGCTGTCATAAGCCCTTATAGTCACCTTAAGTATAGGGACAAGAATAATTAGGCTTGGCAGAAATCGATTTTTATTTTTTAATAATTTTGGTAATATTGATTGGCTTGATAATAATATTGATGCCTATTTTTAAGCATTTATTTAGATTTTTATTAATTTAAATTTCCAGGATTGTGCAAAATTAGGAGTGTGGGGGGCAGGCAATTTATTAATGACAGTATACTATTATTATAGTGCACTTTAAACACCTATTGCAACAAGCATAACTTTAGGACGGCTGCCAGCTGAGCAGCGGACCTGCCATCAGTCCCAGCTCCACTCTCCTATTGCTTCCTCATCTGCTTTGTCACTTCCTCTTCCTTTGTTCCCAGTCCCCTGGGGATTCTGGGAGGTGCAGTCCACACAGTCAGCATGGTTCTGTAGGACTGCTCCCCCTTTTGTTACATACTCCATCAGCCATCATTTTTCTTACATTTCCTATTTTATACATTTTGATTACTAATGATGGAAATATTTTTGCATTGGTCTGTAAGTGCGAGGTGAAATTGACATTTATCAACGTTTACTGATAAAAATCGAATCCTGCTAAGCCTAAGAATAATGGATCATTAATAAAGGCTTCCTTTCTCTAACAAATTCAATGCACCCAAATGTTAAATACAAATTAATAAAACCATCAGCAGGGAGTTTTAAACCACAAAATTCACCCTGTTTCAGTCACTCAACTTTCACTCTTTTGGTTTGTGATGCCAACATTTCATTAGCTCTCCAGGCATCACAAAGACTTCCAGGATACAAAGAACTTGAATTCATAATGTTAAAAAAAAAAAAAAAGCAGAAAATAAAATACCTTTATAACTGGGGGAAAAAACCATCTTTCAGGCCCTCATTATTACCCAGGAGGAAAGGCACAGCCCAATGTTGTTTTTATTTGCACATTGCGTTGAAGACCCCAGGACACATATCTCAACAGTAGAGGTTCAAATGCAAATATGCTAAGGCTCAGCGGACACGACTACACGTGCAAATAAAGTAGGATCAGTTTACTTTAGAGTAGCAGCAGTCTGCTCTTGTTCCCTGTGGCCCTGCACTGGGCCCCTGCAGCGGCCAGGGGGAGCTCTAGGCTCCCCCTGGGTGCTAGCCCAGGGGCTGGCAGGGAGCATGGGGCCAGGAGAAAACTGCCGTTGTTCCCTGATCCCAGGAGCTGCCTGACGCTAGGGTGAGCTCTGCCACCAGAGCCTGGGTGGGGAAAATGTCCCTCTGCCCTGACAGCAGAGAGTGTCTAGGCCTGCTCTACAATTGCAGGGCTGGGGATTGGAGATTTTTATCTCCCAGTCCAAGCTCCATGGTTGTGGGTCTGGCTAGGAGATTCTTATTTCTCAGCCCCAGCCCTGCGGCCACAGGGCTGGGCTGTGAGATTCTTAACTCCCAGCCTGAGCTCCACGACTGTAGGCCTGGACTGAGAGATAAGATTCTCCCAGTCCTTGTAGGGCCTGGAGATAAGAATCTCTTAGCCCCTGCTCCTTGATCAGGATCAGGAGGTGGGGGCTGGGAGCTCCCTGCTATCACGGCAGGGGGACATTGTCCCCACTTGAGCTCCAGTGGCAGAAACTGCCCCAGCAGCAGGCAGTTCCTGGGGGCAGGGAACAATCCTAGTCAAGCATCTGCACGTGCCATACTGTGCAGCAAGTAACTGAGAGCAAATCCGCTACTTGTATTTACAGGTAACAAACTTACTTGTGATTAAAGCAAATTACTGCACAGTAAGCATCTGCATGTGTAGATGGTGATGCTTACTGTGCAGTAATTAGCTCCAGTCTCAAGTAAAGTGTCTTGTGTAGATGCGGGATGCGCCCACTGTGAATCAGGAAGCCTAACAACTAATTTATTCAGAGCCTGAGAGGCTCTCAAACAGGTTGCACATGCTGCTCATAACTCAGAACTTTTCTCTTGGAAACACTTGCTCTGTTTCTCCGTGCCATGTGATACAGACAGTCTGTTGGCCTTGTAGCTATCTGCCTGTCTAAGGCCACTGAGGATAAGATTCTTTTTTACAGACCACCTGTGACAATCACAGAAAAATCCTGGACTAGAACTATTGCCTCCTTAAGAATGGGTTGTGCCAGTACATCCTGCAGCCTCTCTGCCCTAAATACAAATGAAGTCACAGATCTGCCTCTTTTTTAACAAACCTGCTTAGCTTCAGGTGAGAGAAGTCCTACGATGATGTCTGGTTTCAGGGTCACATTCTTCATCCCAACAAAGCTGAATTTTTCTAAATCTAGCTTTCGAAGGATTCTGGCAAGGTTACGTGTCCAGGCACCAGGTTTGATCAGCAACACTGTGCAGAGAAGCTGGGCTCCTGAAACAAAGGACAACTGTGAAAGCAAAGCTGCTGATAAGAAATAGATGTAAAGCACAGAACACTTGTATTAATTTTCACTAGTTTTAAATGCAAGTTTAAATGTAAACTTTTTTGTTACCCAAGACGAGATTTAATAGCTGGCATGCAGTCCACAGGAACTCTACTGACTGAACCAAACCAGTACAGAATAAGAATGGTGATATAGTTTAACTTTTTAGTTTTAAATTGTATCTAGAGTAACCAGAAGCAGCAGGTTGAAATGGTTAGCTATTTGAATATCAGTGGTGAGCTCTACCTACAGTTCCAAAGCTCTTATATGACAGGCTTGTAGACCTAGAATCAATCTGTATAAAATTTACCTTTGGGGCTTGTTTTTGGATGCCTGGAACAGGATAAACTATTCCCTTTTTTCATGTGATACAAGAAGAGAACTAAATCAAAGGTACCATATGAAGTATATGGTGTAGTTCTTAGGGCAACTTATTATTTATCTCTCATATGTTTGTTTCTTGATGGCCCCCTCTACAGGTTACACGTATTACACAATTAAGTGGCTAATTGTGCAATTCATTTAGACTGGCTACACATGCAAACTATCATGCCATTAAACTGTCCATCCACCTATAATGTTAGAGCTAGAAAATATGTAACTTCATAGCTAGTTTCTATCCAGTTTTATTTTGTGCACTTGTAGATGCTGACCAGGAGCAAATTGCTCCCAGTCAAGCTAGGAACCAGGAGGCCACAGTGGGTAGGGACAGCTGTCCTGGCTTGGTAGGACACTGCCTCCTAGCCACGTGGAGATAGGGACCTGCCCTGATCTCCATTGGTAGGGAGAGCTGTCCCAGCTGCTGAGCAGCTGCCTCCCAACCATGTGGAGATCAGGATGGATCCTGATCTCCATGTGGTTGGGAGGCAACTGCCTGGCAAGCTGGGACAGCTCTCCCCTACCTCATGGAAATCAGGACTAGCTCCCATGCCCCCTGCCGACTTTGGTTGGCACCCAGAGAAGCATGGATCTCCCCCTGGCTGTTGCGGGGGGCAGAGCAAGGCAGGAGCGGCTTGAAACTGAACTGCTCCAGTTAGGAGCAAATTTGCTCTCAACAGGCTCATGTTCAGATGCGTGGGGGGGTGCCATTTAATGTGTCTGAATTTTCTGCGCAGGAAGTTCAGGCACACTAACTGCACGTGTAGGTGTGCCCACTGTCAAGTAGCTTAAGTTGTTAACTTCCTGTGAATAGCACTGTCTTTATTAAAACAGAAACTTTAAGGAAAACTTTGGAGTGTGTCTGAAACATACCCCTTCAGGGCTGGTAGCCAAAAATTCATGATCACCATGTAACAGAGAGAGCCAGAAAACGAAACTGACTAGAAATGGAATGTGACCAGACTAGCTTTGCTGACCTCACTGGTTGAAAGGTATAAGAAGGAAACACATGGCATAAATGTTAACATCCAAGAGACCTCATTCTAATGTTCTACCAGTCAAGTTAACCTTAAATGCTATAATGTTGGATATATAGTTACATCACTTACCCTAATGATGCCCTTTTGAATATTTGTTTTCTAACTCTAATACTATAATCAGTAAACTAAGCCTGTCATTTACTGGCAGCAAACAGTACCAGTTAGCAAGAAGATGAGATAACCAGTATTGCAGATGGCTAGCGCTGTTCCCATTATTATCTGTTTGTGTATATAAAATGTCACTTTATGTTTCTTATGCATCATATTACTAATTATACAGCTGTCAGTGCAATGAAGCATCAACAATACTACATGTATTTTGACTGCATATGCAGTCATTTTCAAATGGCAAGAGGCATGGTATTGATTCATGGCACAAAATGGGTTGGGACCAAATATAGAAGTAACAACATGTTCTTCATTCTATAGGAAAACCTAACCCATTTCCTATTGGGAGTTCTTACACTGTGGGATCTACTGGGTTTTTTTTTATAACATCCTTGAGCAGAAAGGTAAATTCCATAGCAACAGCTTGCTCTGCAGAGGCAAGCCTCCCTGTTCCCTTCAGCTACTAGTATATAGAATGGCAATTTAAATTACATACTGTTACATAAGTACTCATTGTCCTCAAAATGTTTTACTCACCATCTGCTACATTTCTGGGCAAACATTCCCATTCTTTCTGGTATGTGAATCACCACATCCTGCATATTCATATACTTTATTCACATAATGTAGACATATTATCCTGACCTGAAGATGCACAAATGCTGTTATCTTCAGGATGGCCTTTAAAACGTACATCTTCAGATCCTTCTAAGAGCTACATTTTCTACTAGATCCATGGTTCTCAACATTTTTAGTCTCAAGGCACTCCTATCTAAACTCAAGGCACCCCTTAGAAAATGTTAGCTCTTAGTTTTCACTTGGTTTGTTTACTACAGGAAAATAAAAGAGTAATTCTTCTGTTGCAAACAACTCAGAAATCCCACACCAGGTAAAAATGTTTTTAAGACTATGAATTCCTATGTGAAATCTCTTGGGAATCATGTCTGCACACGTAATAGTGCTAACATTGTGTTGCACCCCTGAAAAGATCTCAAGGTATCCCAGGTTGAGAATCACTATACTAGATCCACACAGTGGACTGTCATTTATATCAATAATCACTTCCCATATTGATCATGTGTTACCATAGCCTTTATTATGCAGGCCTCTTTAATGTTTTCCAAGACTTCTGGCTACATTCTCCATTCACTTGTGATTGCTTTCTGGATTTTCCAGGTTTTGGTAAAACTTTTCTGGCCTTGGTAGCTTTTTTATGTTCTGTGGTTTCCTCAGTTTCCTTTCTGTTGGTCCACGTTTACCAAAATGCCTCTAAGTGGTTTTACTTTCAAAGAAGTGATATGGTGGCTTCATGTGTACTGATAAAGCTGCAATGCATTTTTTTTAATTTAGATGTGTGGTTTAAAGTGAATACTCCTTCAAGAGAAGGAAATGTCAGACTTCCTGAGATGTTTAGATAAGGGAGTATATATCACTGTCAGTGCTCAAACCCAGGGAACTGTTTGATACAATTCTAATTGCCTTCCTTTTGTTGGTATCTTTAACTGCTCCATAAAACCAAAGTCAAATAAATCCACACTTTTCTGTAGTAAGCTTTGCTGAATAAGCAGGGGGAGAGGGGGGAAGAGAGAAAGTTACTATATTGCCTCTCTCACCTGCTTGCATGTAGGTGAACACTGATTCTACACTGCTTCTTTGAGTTTCTCCCCCTAAAGAAGAAGAGATGAATAGATTTTAATAGAAGGTAGCATTGCTTGGGGAATAATCATCTCCGTTGTAAATGTAGCATGTGATTATTACACAGTTGTTCTTAAGGATTCATTTGTTTTTAGAATCCCATGTCTGGACATACATGGCCTTATTTTAGAAGTTCTGGGATTTCAGAAATGGTGGGAACATCCACAAATCTCAACCCAGTCCTGCAGGAGCTCACTTGTATAACTGGTATATACTGCTTGGTTTGATTTTCACGAGTGCTGAATCCCATAGATCTAATTCTCATTTACCTTGTTATTGTGTTCGGGGGAAAGGAAGTTAGCCTTGGGAGGAACAGAGGTGGTTTAAACCACCTTTGTGATCCCCAATGTTGTGGCCAAACAAGAGTCTGCCTGATCATTTGGGTAAGCCAGAGCAGTCTCAAGATTGATCTAACTTGCACTCTTGTTTCCCAGACTCTTCTATGGGCTCTAAAAAATAGAGAAGAGGTAGTGAAATGCATTCTGGCCACACCCCTAATCTACCTCCTAAAACTAAGAAGCAGAGCTAATTAACATGAGTGTAGCACCATGCAAACACAGCCACACTACTGGTTCAGGAGGCAGTGGGCGCATCTACATGCGGTATGGCACTGTTGCTACAGCACTTTTGGAAGTACTAAAGCATGGCGCAGTATGGGTGGTTACTGTGCAGTGCATGTGGGTAGATTTCACTCCCATGTCGCTATAGGGGCGTGCTATTCCCAGGGAGTGTGCCGCTAAGGCAATCTAGCTGATGATCATATGTAGACACACTTGATTGCAACATCACCATAGCCTACTGTACAGCAACATAGCACATTGCTACGTCACCATATGGTGATGTGTAGATGCACCCAGTGTGTGCAAAGCAGCAGGCCTGTCACAGCAGTTTAGCAGTATGTATGTCCCTCTAGGCTGTTACTTTGGGAATATCTATGGGCACAACACAGGAGCAATAACTAGTGTCTAGGCAGCTAAAGCTCATGTTTATAAAAACATTTGCAATGTAGGGATTGGCTGACTCAAGGGATTATAATAAAGTTTGAAACCTCATGCCTCTAGGGTACCAGCCAATCCCCACCCTAGGTGAGGGAGGGCAGAATAGTATTGACATTTGAAGGCTCTTTGATTAAATAATTTGGTGGGTTTCAGTCCAGTGACAACACAAAGATTACAAACCCCACTAAATGTCCCTCTTACCAGCACTCTTATTGCAAAAGCAAAAGGAGTGAACAGGTCAAAAATAAACTCCCTGCAGACCCCTAGAGAACACTCCTCATAGCCAGCAATGGGGAACATCACTGAGGAAGCTGGGGCTGTTTCTGTTTCTTTTGTAAGTTATTAAAAGAAAGAAGCTTCTGATACTTTTAATCTGGTAACTTTAAACAACACTAAATTTAATTCTAAAAAGTAAAAAACACCAAAACCCCCTCAAAGCCCTGTTTGTTAAAGGCAGACCCAGTCATTACAATCCTTTTGTATTTATTACAGTCTGAGGTCAATACTGTCTCTCTTTCCCATAGCACTTTATCAGGAAGCTGCTTATCCATTGGATCCTTTCCTTCTAATAAGATCAAGTTTCTTTCTGTGTCTCTATTTTCTGTTCTGCTGAAATAATAAGAGGTGATAGTATAGGGCAGGTCTGACTCTCAATCCCTCATCTCACTTCTCAGTGAGTACATCCCCTCAGGACTGATTTCCTTCTTTACAAGGTAAGGTTCTTATAAGCTTTCCTTGAAACTGTTTCAATCTTGTTTTAAGAATATGAAATGGTCTGAAAATAGCTTGTAGAAATATACTGAAATAGTTTGAAAGCTAGTGTCTAAAAGGGGCAACTGCTCTCATAACTATGGTCTTACCTTCAGTCCTGGAGCCTCTGCCAGGTGGTGGCAGGTACTTCAAAG